CAACCGTGCGGTTTGGAAAATTGGCGTGTATGTAATCATTTACTTCAAATTCCACGTTTGATGGATTGATATCGAAAATAGTTATTATGAGGATTTATTCAAAGCATGATATGACAGATAATCCGGTATATGGATGTCATAACCAAGAGAGGTGTGCAGGGGACCACCCACCCCATCCCCGATCCAAAGAACCTACTTTAAGTCGGTTCTTTATGACGGAAAAGGGGAAAGTATCATTTTTTGATCTCGTTCTTGTGTCAGATTAAGCTTGTGCTAAACAATGTTATCCAACATAGTATACTTACTACTTCTACCACTACTACTTCTACTACTATCACTACATCTACTACTACTATACTACTACTACTACTACTACTACTACTACTACTACTACTACTACTACTACTACTACTACTACTATTACTACTACTACTACTACTACTACTGCTGCTGCTGTTGATGCTACTGCTACTTCTACTACTACTACTACTACTACTACTACTACTACTAATAATAATAACAATGATAATAATAGTAATAATAATAATTTTATTATTATTGTTATTATCTCCCAACTCCAAATTAAGTGAGTTTGTGAGAGCCAATGGGATTCCCGAGTCTGTGTTCCAGTGATAATAATGATCACCCTCTCTTCCTGGTTCCGCCCATGATTATTCTATGGAATTATTCTATTGATATGTTGATCATCAGATTATTATCTCGATTTCAAGGAAACAGACGAAAGAGACGACAAATAAAAAGATCATTTAAAACCCTTTGTTGTACTTGTCTGTTTTCTCGTAAATAATTAAAGCGAAACTTTAGGAGGAGTACACTTGCCCAGTATGTGTAAGTTTGGAGACATAAACACTTCAAATTATTATGAGGACACTCATCTAAATCCTCTAGCGCTAGTTTTTCTTTGACAGCGCAGTTCCACCCACTATCATTTTACGGATACTCCCCCGCCCTGTTCTGGGGAATTTTTCTAGATCCCCTAGCGCTGGCTTTTCCAGGACAGCCCCACGCCCCCACCCCCATATGGATTTCTGAATACGCCACCTGTCTAATACACTTTGCCCATTGGAAGCATTTCCACTTGATTGAAATGCTGATTGAACGTAACTTAGTGGTCAAGAGACATTCACCCCTTCCCGCATGCGGCTTAATAAAATAGGTGCGATCAGATTCGTTTTATACGCTCCAATTAACAGGTTCCCTGAGGACTCAATGTGGTGTAATGTCATATCACCCCCTCCCTGGGGCTACTCTAATACCAAATGATGAGCCCTACTGACAGTAGACCCAGCCTACTTTCATATGCACTCCTCGTATCAATGTTCAGAAATAGTTCCGGGGCGAGGTTCCATTTTTAATAGAAATCAACGAACTCGCATTGAAAGAAAAATGATGGGCGTGTCCAAAGATGGGTAGAGAGGGGGGGGGGGGAGTCCTTGACTTCCATATACAAGATAATCTGTATACTTGCTGCTCAGAAAATATACCTCTAACCTATTATCGGCTATACATGTATGAGGCTTACTGAAGACCCAAAAGCCATATCTGGACACCTACCTCCTGGACATCCACCCCCGGATAACCACCCCTAGGACAACTACCCCCGGACACCTTCCTCCCATTAAACTACTCCCTAGGACTACTACCCCCGTGACAACTACCCCCAGACAACTTTCCCCCAGTAAACTACCCCCTATGACAACTACCCCCGGACAAATACCCCCTAGGACAACTACTCCCGGACAACTACCCCCTAGGATAGTTGTCCGGATGGTAGTTGTCCCCGGGAGTAGTCGTGTCGCGATCAAATGACGAATACATTTCTTCTGTCAAAATAGTTTTATCTAGGGTGTTTTTTCGAAATGTCTTTCTGTATGAGTATATCAATTGAATGGAATATAACAGTTTATCAATTATTCAAAGCCCCGTCTCTCTTTCAACTTGGCGGTCCGCTCGTATGACTTTCATTACATTCACACAATACATTAAAACATGCTAGTATAGTATAGCCATTGGCCATGTCCTTCAGAAGACAGTTGACTTTACCGTTACGAATGAAGGACGTAGGGCATGAGGACGACGACGACAATGAATGACTTCCCCCGCATCCTTGACTCACAGATGCCACTGGCATCAGGCCTTTTGAATCATCCGTCATTTCCAGCATGTCAAGCTACATTAATGAAGGAATGAAATTACAAGGAGCCCTTATACTACACATACTTTTTAATCGATAAAAGTGCCCCTGCTTGTATTAACGAAGATATATTATAGATAAGTTAATTAATCAATCAAATTAATAAGAAGTGAAGAAAGAAAGAGAGGTTTTTGACAATTAATTTTACATATAAACAAATAATTATAGATAGATAAATTAATCAATTAATTAATAAATACATTAATAAATGAATAAATAACTAAATTTAAAAAAATGAATAAATAAATAAAGACCAAACAGTACATACCTAATATGACGTCAATGAGGAATGTAGGTTACGGCATGACCCCATATGCTCCACGAGGGTGTTGCTAAAGAAAGTCTTCATGATAAAAATCAAATTCTCGTGCCCACGTGTCCTTCAGGTCGATAAATTCTTTGAAAGCGTGACATCCCTGTCCTTGACTTTCCCGGATCGAAGTGGTGGTGACGAGGGGGGGGGGGGTGGGGGGCAAGGGGCACTTTTTCCAATCTGAAAGTATCGACAAAATGAATAGAAAAGAGGGGAAGAGGAACGCTCCCCACCCCCATCCTGTTGCCTTGTTAAATCACACGTTATCTGTCATATAACACATTATGCTGCCTTACCCCCCCCCCCCCCTCCCGATGCCGTTGTTCCCTAAACTGTCCCGGATTATGTAGCAACTTTCAGGATTTGCTTGAATACAAGCGCCCATTTATAGTAGAATGCTTCTCAATGGATGGCGCCATTGTAAGACGTGATTTGAAGCTCATAGCGTATAGCGGGACATGAATAGTAATTTCACCTAAAACAAAACGGCCCGTATTCTATTAAAAAAGTCAAACCCAACGCTGGATTTCAGTTCTGTTCAAATCGTGTTTAACAAAGGAAGTTAGCCTGAAATATATGTGTTCCCTTTGCTAAACGTGATCTTATGTCCAGAGTCGGGTTTCAGTAATTAGATTAGTAGAATATGAACCAATTTTTTTCAGTGATACATGAACATACATAAATAAACGGTATTCTGATGACATAGTCAAAAGCCATTTTGTCCAGCAAACTAAAAGAAACGAATCTAGTGTAACTATAAAATACTCGGTACCTTTTTTTAACACACACGGACAAATAACGAAACAAAGTGCTCTTCTGGTTTCAAAATTAATGAATATAAAATCAATGCATGTATTAAAATGCATAGAATAAGGAGTCAATCACCTTTAAAAGCAAGAGGCTTGTGACGCGGTTACCATAAAGAGATTAAAATCTGCAGGGATGAATGTAATGTTTAAGCCCCTCTACACTAGTTTGTCCAGCAGGGATTAGACCCCTGCATGGTCACTGACAGGTGGTTATCTCATGGTTAGCTCTCTATTAACAAAAGAAAAAGGGTACCATGGGGGACCAATAGTCACCGATTAGGCATTGTTTGCTGTACAGAGGGCGCAAGTAGCTAAGTAGTGCAGTGGGGCTTTAAATGTCTTCAACCGTCCTCTTATATTTTCGGTCATATTTGTGCGTACGAAACTATTGTGTTTAAATTGTTCTCGGTCGAAGTGATCGCCTTTTGAAACATGGCGATTTCAAAACCAGAGAACGGAAAACGGAAATCTATGCTTTTCTGTCATCATCCATTGAAACTAAATATTACTTGTAAGACGTCCATTTTCCAAAACATTGAAATTATACCTTTTAAAATGTCACGATACATAATCGTTGAATATGTTTACTGCACCGCGACTTTCTTTATCATCTCATTCAAGATAGGGAATGTCTTTGACCGCTTTATGCTGGAGTGTATCAAGTGTGTCAAAAACTGAAGATAATCCTGTTTCCTTCTAATACATCAGGGTCATCTTTAAAAGGATTGGGGCGGTGCTCAGTTTTTTCAGGAGACACTTCAAGGAATTGAAAATGATATCAATGAAAGATCCGGAATTTACCGTCGGGGGCGGCACAATTTCCTTCTTTTCTTTTTTTTATCAAATACAATCTCACTCGCACTAAATTATATGAGAAGAAAAATGCAGAAGAAATCGCAGAATATCTGCCGTTGCCTTGTGGTCCCCACCCCCCCCCCCTCTCTCTCTCTCTCTCTCTCTCTCTCTCTTTCTTTCTTTCTCTCTTTTTATATTCGCAGAAACTAATTTCAGGGGGGGGTAATCTTAAGTCATTATCATCATGAATTCATTGTTAGAAGCGTACATTATTTTTAGTATTCCAGATTCCAGTATTATTGGTAATAATGACATAAACTCCTCATCTACATATGCGTAGCTAATAGATTCAGTATAGAAGGCTCTTTTTCTGTGTGTTTATGTCCATTGTATCTCTAATCTCTCATCAGGTTTTTGCAATGCTGGTCGAGAGCACATTACGATTTATGCACAATGGATAAGTAACTGTTATGAACGGAATCGAGTATCAACCATCGCAAAATGCTTCAGAAAGGACCGGTCGATGACTGGTTGCTAGGCAGTTGATCAATAATTAATGATAACAATTGTTCTATTCATGCATTATATTTTATTGTTAATAATGGACTGATTATTCGCAAAATATAACATGTCTCTTCGATCGTTTCTGATTTAACCTTGAGGGTATGCCCCTTCTCGCATGTGTTGCTTAATGCAACATGAATGCACTCAGTCAATAAATTGCAATATGTCTTTGATATATATTTGACTTTGCTCTCTGTCTCTCTGTCTCTCTCTCTCTCTCTCTCTCTCTCTCTCTCTCTCTCTGTCTGTCTCTCTCTCCCTCTCTCGCGCTGTCTCTCTGTCTCTTAAATTCTCTTAATCGCTTCTCTTTGTATCTGTCCACAGGTAAAACTAGGGATATCAAACCAGTCCACAGCAATCCATTGAAGCAAAGAACCACCCCAAGCGACATCAGCCTAAACCTGTGACAAAACATGGCACCAAACACCACTCTACTCCTCTGCCTGAGTCTTGGCCTCATCTCGCTCGTCCAAGGCTATGCCTTCGAATTAGAGGACGCCGGAGACGTCGCCGGTCTCCTCGGTGATGCCGACCTAGAAGGAATCGATGAGATGCCGATGATGGAAGCTGGAGCGATCGGGGAAGAAGAAGATAAAAGAATGATGCCAATGGAAGGACAGACTGCGCAGGACTACCTTCTAGAACTCTACGAGCGAGACAGGAGGGGAGCAAGGTGGAATAAGAATTTTATGGGTATAAGTTCACTGGACCGATCCATTACAGCATACACATCATTCCTGGTGAGATTTGATTTAATATTTGCAACACTTATATTATGTAAGGTGAATGTATATTTGGAAATTTTCTTAAGGGAAACTATGCATGTTTGAAGTTTTTTAATGCAGGGCAAATATGGGAGGGCCAATAGCTCGCAAGATAAGTCACAACATTTTTTTAATCGGAATTTTTTTAAACTTTCACTGACCTGTTCTCCCATTTTCTGTTTCTATTAAAACCAAATTTATATCAGGGTGGACTTCCACTTTAAATTATAGATTAACCTTTGATATTAAATCGTTATCTAGTCAAACAAGAAAAGAGCAACTCCAGCACGGAAAATGACTTCGTAAACAGACGAATTTCAAATTTCACAGATGTTGTTTGCTTGTTTTTTGTTTTGTTTTCTTCTTCTTTTTTTCAGCTGTGATGTGTGTGCGCGCTTTCCTTACACAATATTATATGACCAAATCAAAGTTGCCCCGCTCGCAGTACCACTGTGGCGAGGGTTTGTTAAACGTATGAGCCTCATATTATTATTACTTAGATTGCAAAGGCAGTGCATGTCATCGGTCTCGAAATGGGGCGAGAATGTGGCATTATATCGCCATCACCTTTATCGCAGGTAGATTGCAGCAGAAGTTGTAGTAAAATCAAATATAAGGTTGTAGGGAAATTCTACCACGCTTTACGAAATTTTCACAGATCTCCATGGTCGCCATACATGATTGTATTTCTAGTGAATTGGGGATATTAGCTAGCAAGTGTGAGAGCAGGCGCGGAAGCCATTGCGATGAATTCCAAAACAGTCGAGGCAGTCAACTACGATGAGCTCAGCTGGGCATATCGACCTTCAAATGGTCAATCATCCGTACCCATAAACATGAATGAGCTCATTAACTGCTCTTAGTAGGTATAATGAGGCGATAGTTTTCCAATACTAGAGGGTCATTATGCTTCCTAATTGGAGCTATTTTTATCAATTAGTGATGACAAACTCCTTCCATGTTCGGCCATGCATGGATTTTGTTTCCCCTTCAATTCACAGCAAACAATATCTCAGTTGTGATCAATAGGCCTCACTATGAAACAGGGTCATTGAACTTAAAGCCCCACTGCACTACATATAGCTACTTGCGCCCTCTATACAGCCAACAACAACAGTACCCGTTGATCCCCATGATGCCCTTTTTCTTACGTTAATTGAGAGCTGATTTGATGAGATAACCACCTGCCAGTGACCTTGCGGGGAGGTCTAATCCCTCCATGCCAAACTAGTGCAGAGGGGTTTTAAATGATTCCTGTCTAGGACAACTTACCCTTGGAGAAAGATGCACTAGGACAATTGCCCTGTACGCTAACTCATGAGGACAAGTACCCCTGGGACATTTATTAACCCTGGCAAATACCCCGGGACAGCTCTCCTATGCCTAATTCAAAGACTTACTATTCATTAAAGTCATAAGTGTGATTTTTGAGTTGGAAGTTATTGCGGGGCTTTTAGTGCGGTATGGTATGTAATCCCGTAGGATTTTTTTTTCCTGTTTTGTTTTTTGTTGTTGCTGTTTTGCTGTTTTGGCTTCAAAAGGGTCCCAATTGGCCAAAAATGATGGGGTTCAAATTTTCAGACCCCTCCTTCATTTCCTGGGGGGGGGTCCATATTGGGCGCCAAAATGGCTTATAAAACGCGCAATAGGGAAATTTGGTGTCTTCGGGAAAATTTGAACCCCCATCAATTTCTGATAGCTTGGACCCCAATGAATCCAAGAATGCAAAAAAACAAAAACTTTGGCACAAAAATCCTACGGGAGCTGTTTCAGTGCATACCGTACCACACTATTTAGTCCGGGGTTAATTGTCGTTTTATCAGCAGTTGTCTGGGTACGTTGTAGGAGGGGTGATAGTCGAAGGGGTATTGTCTACCTGAATCGCCTTTCTAATGGCGCATTCAACGAGCTCATTGAGTGACATATCAAACTTCTTTAAATTTGACCAACTGTATTTGCGCTATTTGCAGTAAACAAAACCAATGGTGGTGATGAGTAATATGCGCGCTCCAACAAGCTGAAAACCTTACCAGGTAATGGGTTTGCAATTTCTATCTTCAATGAAAACAACATAGATGAAATTGGCTTGGGTTTACAATTATTCAAAGCCTCAGGTTAAGAACCGTAGAGGTGTCGTTGTCAAGTGGATATGTCACCGGACTGTTGATCGCAGGTCCGCGGTTCAAGTCCCTTCGCGCCACTAATGTCCTTTGGCAAGACATTGATCTACATGTGCCATTCTTCACCCAGGTGTTTAATGGGTACCCGGTAGGATGCGAAAGCTAATGTGATTAGATGAGCGAGTGTGCGCTTGTAAAATGACGCCAGGCTAGAATGCTCCCCAGTGAGTGGAGAATGTGCATTCATCATATGCGGGTAAGCCTGAATCCGATGACCGGGGTAATAATATGTAGGCCTATGTAGAGCGCTTTGAGCCCGCCTGCGGCTCTGTAATGCGCTATAGAAGAACGAACTATTATTAATAAGAAATAAAATACAGAGATATCAACTGCTTTGAGAGGCCTAGCTGTTTTATATGCTCAAGGGAACGCGCGCACCTCCTGCCATGAACCTGAGGCGCGCCTGACCTCTAATATTGAAGCAGACGATATGTCTTTTATATGTCTTTTATATTGAAACAAAAATCCATCAAGAATTCTTACCTTATCCTTTTATTGAGTAAAGATTGGTTAAAACATCACGTAAAATCTGAGACACTGTCTGTAATCTTTGCTTGAAAAATGACTGAAAGTTTCAATCGTTTGGGAATCGCAGACAAAAAGCACAGTATGGTATCCACGCTCGCTCAAAGAACATTTTAACACGTAAACCAATTGGTATCGCAGCAAAATTTTACCAATTTAATGGTAACCGAAATGTTGAGGGATCTCACTCTTGGACTGTTAACCGGTATTGGCATTTGTCATTTCTTTACGGGAATGGCTAAAACCACGACTCCAATTTCGACCAATCAGATGGCTTGATTTCTTTAGTGAGGTATATAACATTATGATAGTCATAAATTCACTCATTTGATATTACAAGTGATGTAATGCCTTTGATAATGAATCGTGACCTTTGACCGATGATTTATAAGTGATTATGAATAGAGTCACAACGTGCCATCGCACCTTATGGTAGCACGGCAGTTTCGGCCCAAGTCATGCATGCCATCCTACTGTGATGATGATCTTTTTAGGGAGTTGACTACTAACGGTGATGCATGGTTGCTAAGATTCCAAGTGAGTAGCCGGGGATAATCATTTTCAGCTCATTGAATTCACAACATTGACGTCATCATTTCGTAATTAGGAAGTTGACTGACGGGCAGGGGCAGAAACAAGCATAGAAATCGTGATAATGTCATGTTGAAACAACGGCATCCGAGAAAAATTAACAGGTTTTCAATTTTCGTAATGCGATTTTTCTTCTTCTTCGTCACACTTTCTGCCCTTGTGTCAACTACCCGTCTGACGACCCCCCCCCCCACACACACACATACACACACACACCCACACACACGGAAGCAAACACACTAGAAATACTGTTACTATAATAATTGGATGCTTACGTGTTTTGAGACTTGCACGAGTGCGACGTCATAATCAATATGCAAAGGATACTTTCACGAAACACGAAATCTTTCTTCTTGTATAATAATTTGGCAAAATGTGTAACAGATCGTTCGTCACACACACACGCACACACGCGCACACTTTCTCTCCATCTCTCTCTCTCTCTCTCTCTTTCTCTCTTTCCAAAGCCTGTCTATCATCGCTGGCTCCCTTCCCCTTTGTCTTTCTCGGCTTACCCCCCCCCCCCTCTCCCCCTCCCCCTCCCCCTCCCTCAGCTATTTAAGTGTTTCGCTGGTGTTACGCTTTTAACACTAGCTTATTGTCTTTATCCGTCTTTTTACAGCCCTGTAGAGTTGAAGGCATGTGTAAGCAAAAGTTCAAAAAGACATTCCGCTGCAAGTGCAATCAACATACTTACTGCGTTGGACCCGGCAAGAAGTACGAGGCTCGTTGCAGATACAGCGCAGTGGGGCATGTCTTCTATCAGCCGTAAGATGGCAGCATACAGGAACCAAAGATTTCGCCACAATGGGGGGAGGTAAGTTAAATTCATTCTTGGCATGTTCGTTTTTTTACCTAAAAGAATGAAATAAAAAATAATTACAAAATTGATATAGGGAGAAAGTTTATCTCAAGGGCCAGGTGTAGTGGCAAAATGAGATTATTTCAAAAGAAAGCTTGAGAAGAATTGCATTTTTCCTTTTTGGATACCCTCTTACAATCTCTATCCGTTTCTCTATCTATCTCTCTCACTCTTTCTCTCTCTATCTCTCTCTCTTTCTCATTCTCTTTCTCTTTCTCTCTCGCACACTTTCTCCTCTCCTCTCTCATCCTCTCCCAGCTTTGTTGTCACTCGTTTCTTTTTATCCCTTCGTTATAATTATCATCTGTCTCTCAATCTAACAGCCTATAGTAGCCGGGCGCATTATAGGGATTAAACGGATATTGTTGTTACTAAATTTATATCTGCCCTATATCGCTTCTCAATTTTGTTTCAATCTTAGACCTATGCTATCCCTGGTTTAGAGAACTCGTGAGTGCCTGGCCCTGGACATTCTGTTGCATTCCCGACACAAATTTTCCACAGTATTATAATATCATTTGGTCTTAAAAGAGTTATGGAACTTTGAGTTTTCTAAGCAAAAATAATTTACAATGTCGCCCATAAAATGTGATACTTCTTTTCATGAAATGAGTGTGACAATGTGGTTTATTCTTATTGGATGAAGTTCATAATCTTCTCAGAAACTTATTGATCGACATGCAGAGTCGTAAATATTGTTCAGTAAAGTTCCATTCGATAAACACTTCATCGATTAAGAATAAATCATATTGTCACAATCAATTTATAAAAAAAGTTTAAAGAAAATATAATCCCACTTTATTGGCAACTGTTTATTTTCTAATCTCAAATCCATGTTATCATTTGCAGGTACAAACCTTCATCCAGGGGTTACAGACTCGTCAAAACTATCAACAACAAACCAACTAAAACAACCACAACATACTCAACCAGAATAGGCACCAATCTGAAAGGGAATCTAACTACGCGGAATCTAACCCGGTCAATCGTACATAATTTGGAACTTTCACAGTAAGACTCGGCTGTGATCAACGAACCGCCAAGATTCATTCACTAATTAATTCAAATCGTGCGTCTAAATATGCATACTAGCAGCTTTGTGTTTAGAAAGAATAAACAAGAGGCTTTACAACTTTACAAAGGAAAGGAGGCTTTACTGAAGGTGGAAAGGTTTTGAATATTGTCAGTCGTTCTTTAATGTAGTTCTTTAAAACATTGGAAATACATGCAAAAACTCTCAATTATCTGTTCTACGATTTTATTTTATTTTAATATGCTGACCAAAAGTGGATGGTAACCTCTTTATCTCATACTTGGGATCAACAACAACATCAACAAATCTTCTATGATCCTGAAATATTTATTTCTCTAAAACGTGCTGCCTTTCAGATTTTATATAAAACTATTATAGTCTGTGTACATACTTTTGTCGCACTTGAACAAGAAATTAAAATATTGTTAGCCCGTTGATCATAAATATTGTCTCTACTAGCACGACATATTTGTTCAATTGTAGGTGATTTAATACTAAAGATTCATTAAAATAAATTATTTATGAAACACTTCCTCTTTAGGATAATCTTAATCATCTAAGTATAATAATTTTGTACTTATCGTTATGTGGTGTCTTGGATCTAGAACGTTCTCCTACAATTATTATTATTAAATTATTCCATCGACTTGTACCATTTACAATTCCTGTAAATTTTGCATAATTCTTTCTGTCACTTGTTTAGCATTCATATCAACGCCATTTCGTTCTTATGTAACAGATCGGTTTTACCAACTTACATGAGCTATTCCACTTCGATTTTCAAGCTTTACTCTACGCATGTTTCAAAAATAAAACTAACAAAAAAATTGCAAAAAGAAACATATTTAACCTAAAAAAAAAGCAGAAAAGGGTAAATTTGAAAAGGAAAAGGCATTAGCCTTTTGTTAAAAGGACGTAGCATGTAATATGTCTAGTTTGACATTTTCTTTGACAGCTTGTATAATTAATGGGATAGAATGTCCTTGCCAGTTCATGTTTGAAAGGCTTTGTTCGTATTTATGTTATCGTATGGAGTGTGTTATATATTACATTAATGATTGGAAATTTAGTATGTTGTAGGCTAATGTAGGGGGAGTGTAGTAATCACATGCATATTTTATCAGATTGTACCAGAGGGACAGAAAGTAAGGCAATGTTGCGTGAGTATATTCAATATAATGCCAGTACAATGCTGGCAGCATTTAGAGTAAAGTTCAAATCATATTATAGAATATATAGTAGAGTAAGAACCTTATTGTATAGAGCCTTTATAGCTGCAAAAGTATACTGAAAGACTTCACTTGGAAGAGCATAAATCATTATTTTTGTACATATTTTATTTTTAGCCGTCCTTATTCATTTTTTGAGCTCCGATATAATAATCATTGTGCATGTTTACAATTTCTTTGTTTGATTTAGTTCGTAGTATGTTATTGCTGTTTAGTTCGTGTACAGAATAGACAAGCATTGTCGTATCTTTTCAAAAGCAAATCATTTTATTTAACCAACTATATTGACCTCAAGAACAATTATTTTGATTTATGCATATTAATTTGGAGAAGAAAGTGTGAATTTTGTATAGGGTTTGATTGCGTTGTATTGTGTTTGTGATTAGAACATGTCAAGAATTGGTCGTCAAAATCCTGAAAGTTGTAATAACTCTGATCGAAAATAAAGCTCAAAGAAACTTATCATCAGCACACTTTTCATCAACTTTGCACCACAACACACAAACTTTTAGGTGTCTGAATAAAAGGTATTCGTCAAATAAATTTGTGTATTAAATGATGTTATTTTGTGTGATTACTTAATTACTCTGTAACAAAGGTTGAGGTCGGGGTACACCCACTCCCCCCCCCCCCCTCCCTCCACTTATACTGAACGGCATGACCTGATGTTAAATTACACCCCTTGTCCGGGGAAGACCACCGCCCCCTCACCCCTCCCCACCATTTAATAATACTATTTCTGGATTCCACTGATATAAAGTGTAATGGAAGCAATGTGGGCTGCAATATTTTAAGGTACAATACAAGACTACACCCCACCCCCTCCCCCTTAGTTACCAGGGCCCATATTCATAAAACCTTACTAATGTACTAATGTTTCCATTAATTATTAAAGTAGAGGCTAGTATATACTTGTTGACAACTAGGCTTAGGGAGGCTTTATGAATATGTGCCCAGAATTTTTTTTAAGAATCTTGAGCTAAGTGATAATGTGGAGGGAAAAAACTAATCAAGGTCCTGTTAAACGCTTATTATTCTTAATCATGGTTAAATATTTATATTTTTAATTAAAAATTTGTCAATATTGTGTAAATGACAGAGATATTGAGACTCAGGTAAAACTATTGAGCGGATGATATACTAGAGACACAAAGAAAGCTAAAGAGAGGAAAACACATTCATAAAAGCAAACGGGCAATCAATATGTATATATATATAGACTACATGTAGTAGTGATTGAAGAAGAAATATACAGAATAACGGTGAACGGTATGTCTTATTAAGGAAACCGCGCAAATTGAAACGAAATTATCATCCCGAAGAAATAGGATTTATATCGTTCATCTGAGATAAAGCAGAAAGACCATCTTATATGAAATTCAAGGCTTAAATTATGCCCCTCAAGAAAATATTATTGGATATCGGGTTTGAAACACAACGAACAGAAAGTGGGCAACATGCTGAGAACAACTATGGAATCAGCCAGAGGAAGACAAATTGCAGGCCCGGAGTTCCCCGTTACTATTTGGTTGTATTCCGATGAAGATGCCTCGGGGACCGTGGGACCACCCTCTCGAAATCTTGTTGGTGCGTGACGTGTTAGGTTTTATTCTTAGATGTCAATTGAAGACGACTGGAATCATCTCGATTCAATCTGTGTTCAGTGTTTGAGTTTTGATGTTGAATGTTGAATGATTGGTTGGTTGGTTGGTTGATTGATTGATTGATTGATTGATTGATTGGTTGATTATGATGGATGGAAAAATTGATGTTTTTTTTTATTGGATGATTGATTCAATTGATTGATTGATTGATTGATTGATTGATTGATTGATTGAATGGTTAATTGATTGTGGGAATCCATGTGTCAAATACTATTTTTTTTCACAATGGAAAGATTTCCCGAGGTTATAATGGAACAAAAATGATTTAGGCTTATATTTTTTTCGGCAGAATGATAAACGTTTAGAAGATAAGAATGTTATAATGTTTAACAAATCAATCATTCACTAAAGGGACCCCCCCCCCCCTCCCCTCTCCCCTCTATCATCAATGTTGAATCAAAACTGTCATTAACCATGTTCTATCAGAAATGATATTGATTCCTTCGACTGTTCGTATAAACAATAATTGGGAACATAATGGACAATGACCCCGCTTTAATGCAAATATCATCTCTTCTCGGTGTAAATGAATCTGCTACGTCACACAGGTTACCCTCAGGTACCTTGGGCAATTAGTTATACAAGGCAGATCAGATTATGACAATTATCATATTAAATTTGACTGAAAACAGTTCGTGAAAGTACAACTATTTTCTTTTGCCGTGGGAACCAACGAGACTATAAAAAACGGGGAGATGAGGAAAGTCTGTGTTATTTGTGTATTAAAAAAGGATGTAGTTTATTATTTCGTTGCTTGATGAAGAGTCGTATTGCCAAGCTTCATTCTATTTATTTTGCTTTCAGGGGAAATTCCTAAAGAGTGAATCACGCTGACACCTGAGTTTTATCAAAAAGGGAAAAGCAGATATTGGCACATTATTATTTTGCCTGTGAACTTAATTCGTCTCTGTGCTCAAGTGTATACATGTGGATGGAGGGGCGGTCACATTTCAAGTTCATATTTAGTTTTTATGTAATATGTCATTTATTCAGATCACGCCTTCTTTAACTTCCTGCATTCAATTTTCTCTTGTTACAAAATTATATTTACTTAATATTCCTTCATAATATCCTTCATAATATCCTTTTGTCATATCCGTTTAAGTTTCTAATTTTCTTGGCCAAAAAAGACCTTCCTGGTTATGAAGTAATTTTAATGAATTTTTAAAAAATGAATCAAAATAGTAATATGATATTTTAAAAAATGTAGGGGATAATGAAAGAGGGAGAGAGGGGAAAGAAAGTATGAACTAGAGAAAAAAGGGGACAGGAGGAGCGAGCCGATAGAGGAGGACTATCAAGGGGTTGAAAAGTGAAAGAATTATAAATGGGTACACAGAAAAGGAAACTAAAAGTAATTGTGTGAAAGAGATGCAGAAGAGAGAGAGAGAGAGTGTGTGTGATAGAGAGAGGGACAAAAGAGAAAAAAAGAGAAAGAGAGAGAGAGAGAAATAGAAAGAGAGTGAAATAGTTATAAAAAGAGAGAGAGAGAAAGAAATAGAAAGAGAGCTATGGAGAAAGAGAAAGAGAGAGAAAGAGAGAGAAAGATGAAAGAGAGAAAGAGAGAGAGAGAGAAAGAAAGAAAGAGATCAAGAGGAAAGTAGAGGGAAAACTAGACAGGCAAGGAGAGAGAGGAGTAAAGGGGATGGTATGGATATAAAAGTGAATATAGGAACGGGAGAGTGTGTGAGAGCGTAAGAGAAAGGGAGAGAAATGGGGCAGGAGACACGAGGTTTAATCCATTAATCCGTAAGTTATGTTTTAACATTGGAATGATAAGAATCATTATAACAAGATAATTCTAACAAAGAAATAAGATGGCTCAAACATCTAATTAAACATCCCCCACCAAAAAAAGAAAGGCTGGTACAATAATCCTGAAGAATCTCTTCCCATCATGCACTGCTGGTTCGTGGACTTCAAATTCCCGAATCACCAGGCAGTCTAACTTTCTCACCCTATAAAACC